TCCCCCCAATTTCCCTTTTTTTTTTTTTTTTTTTTAAAGTCAAAATCAAAATCACAGCATCTGCAACCGCCGATGCCATTCCAAAGAGCCGGCATCACTACGCCACCCACCTGCCCATTTCACCACCATCACAAACTACTCTTTCAACCAAAAATTAAACCCGCAGCAAACCTGCTTCAGCTCTTAGTTTTCAACCACATAATTGATGTTCCCATTTCCCTAATCTAGAAACAAAATCATAGAATAAAAACATAAAATATTAATTTCTTCAACTGCCAAACTAATTTAATTCTTAGTTGAATCATTCCATGTAATGTCCCGAACTTTCATAGAATAGAATTTAATTTTTGTATGCCATATTTTAATATTATGAAAAGTTAGGGACTAAAGTGATATATAGCAAATTTAAATTTCATTTGGGGTTAAAATTTAGATATTGATGGAGTAGTGATAAGTATATGAATATTAGACTCATTGAATAGATCACAATTAATCAGACATGTTAGATTCTAGAAAAGGTTAATTTGGATTAGTGGAGTCCAAGTTATCAATTTCGAAAGATATAGTTTTAAAATATATTTTAGTTGATTATTTTAAATAATGTGTATAGAGCAAGATTTTTGGGTAGGTTAGTGATTGAATTTTTTTATTAAATAAAGATTTAAAAAAGAGAGAGAGAGAGAAGGGAAGCCACGTGGGCAGCTAATAAGAAAGCTAATTTCCTTTTAAATTGTTTGAAACTTTGAATGCAAATGGAACGCCACGTGTATGGAAATTGATATGTGTTGATTTTTGAGTGGTTTGGTTAATTGACTAGACTTAGTAGTCAAATTTCGGTTTTCCAATAGTTTCATTCATAACCCTATTTCACTCCCAAACGTTCCTCCACAATGTACCAACGGCCTATTTATATAGAATCTATAGATACATCACATGATAGAAAGGAAAAAAAATATATGCGTGCATGGAACATAAGTGGAGGTAGGAAAGGGAATTGTTGGAACATGAATTTTCGTTTTGTCTTTTAAAATTAAAGCAAATTAATAAGATAGGATATCGAAGTACAGTATATTTTATCCCGTTTAATTTAATTTTTTCATGTTAATGAATTATTGTACTCATGAAAGCTAAATATATGATATAGCCATTCCGGAACAAATGATATGATATGATATGAGTTCTTACCAATTTCTAAAGATATAAGGCGGCGCGATATTCTGATACATTTTTAAAATTTTTTACTCGGGGTTGCACCATTAATTTTTATATCACATTGAGTATTCTCATGTACTCATCCTTTTCCCCACTTCTCACATGTTAGAAAGGGTTGTGTTGGAGAGTGGCGATTCGATTGAGTGGTCGTGCCTCGTTATGCTGGACGAAATCTAGAAGTTTAGCACGTAAATTCCTTGTATAGTTCCTTGTACATAGTAGGGTCAGAATTCGGTTAATTGAAGATGACGTTTCTTGAATCACACCAGAGAGACAATCCTATGCTTCAAGCAGAACCTGTTGGCATTCAAATTTAGAGGCATTTTCAAGAATGTCCAATTATAGGGGTTGGAGTTGAAAAATGTACTTTTTTAATAATCCTTGCAAAAATGTTCAATTTTTAGATCAAAATGTCTACTTTACCCTCATGAAAAGATTAATCAATTTTATATCACTTTGGCACAATTTTTAAGAAGAGCAAATAACTTCCACGAGAAGGCACAATAATGTTGCCATTACCTAGGTGAGTTCACTTGCTTATATTTTTAATTATATTTTAATCAATTATTCTAGAACAAATGAAGAAGAAGCAAAAATTCCATTAACATATACGAAGAAGTATATGATTCCAACTTCAAAGAAATTATTTTAAGAAATTTACTGTCGTAGAAATTTGAAGCTGATTAGGCTTTCATCATTTGTCAGTAGAAGGTATATTTCTTTGAACTCTATTTCTTCGAACTCTCATTTTTTTGAAAAGTTTTATTTAGTAGTTGTTGTTATATATGTTCAAATCTCAATTTTTTGATAAAGTATTTTTTTCCTTGGACGAAATTATCCTGAGTATATATTTTTTGTACCATTCATCTTAAAAAACTTAGTTAGATAATATACTTCTGTAGTTAAAATATTATTTATGGTGGAATAAATTCTTGCAAAAATGGTGGTTGAAGTTGAAGAAGATGATAAATGCATGAAATCCCGTCATTTCATTCTCGACATTTTATAAATGTCAATAATGATCATAAACATCGAGAATGATATTTATACTATCATTCTCGACACTGTTAAATGTTGACAATAACATTAAAAATTTGAGTAAGTTGGGAAAATTTCGTGTATAGTGATTCACATATTGTATGCAGGTAGCATTTTCGTTTTCAATTTTCATTAGTGGTTGACAGTATTGTTGTTTATGACATGCGGATATGGGAGATGTTAAGAGATTTATTGTCTCGTATGGTGGTAGATTCGTCAACATAGGCGACGGGTGGAAGTGGTTAGGGAACCGAACAACATCAATTGTTGTTCGACATGATATTACATATAAAGAGTTTGTACATAAATTATTCGAGAAGCTGAATGTTGATAGAATGAAGTTTCGAATTCAATTGAAATTTATAGTTCCAAACATGAATATACCCCCAGCTGATGTAGCCGACGATGAGGATTTGCAATGGTTTATGTCTGTTCACACAGAAGCAGCGTTGTGTGTAATTGCAGATGAATATAATGCTGGAGACCATGAACTGCATGTCGTACTTGAGCATTTGTCACCAATAGAAGATGTATTGTGTGGACGCGATGAAGTCGGTATGCGCGAACTACAAGAGTCACAAACGATTGATAATATGGATTAAAGTTTAGGTGAAGGCAATTTGTTTATTCGAAATGCAATTGAGTCGATTGATGAAGAGGACATTGTGGAGAATCAGATATTCTTTAACAAACAACAGTTACACACAAGGCTTCAACTTAAGGCTTTGAAAGAGAAGTTTCATTTCAAGGTTAAAAAGTCGAATCCTAGATCTCTTACTGTGTGTTGTATCGATACTACATACCATTGGCTAGTACGAGCTTCTAAGATAAAAACTTCAGAAATATTTATGATTCGAGAGTACATACCTGAGCACACATGTTCTCTAGGCGTTCGACGAAATGCACAAATTCACGCAACGAGTGCAGTAATTGGGCATCACATAATGCGAAAGTTGGACGATGCAAACCAATCATACGTTCCTGCGGATATTATTGGGGATATGAAACGTGAGTTTGGTGTACGGGTTACCTACAACAAAGCGTGGAGGGTTAAAGAGAAGGGACTTCGATTTCTTCGTGGTACACCCGAAGAAAGTTTCTAGAAATTGCCATTATATTGTCACATGTTAACCGAGAAAAATCCAGGAACTATTGTACACATTGAACTCAACTCGAATAATAGGTTATTGTACTTCTTCTTAGCGTTCGAGCCTAGTGTACGTGGTTTTCGAGAATACATGAGGCCAGTAATTTGTGTTGATGGAAGTCATTTGAAGGGCCAATATAAGGGAACACTACTAGTAGCTGCAGCGCAAGATGCTAACCTACAAATATATCCTCTTGCGTGGAGTGTTGTCGATGGGGAAACAAATGCATCGTGGTATTGGTTCTTTGCAAAGTTGAAAGATGTCATTAATGATTCAAACCAGCTAGTGTTTGTGTCGGACAGGAAGAAGAGTATTAAGCGGACAATTACGAGGTTGTTCCCACTTTCTCACCACGGTGCCTGCATCTGGCATATCGAGAAAAATCTTATTGCTAGGTATAATAGTAGCAATGTCATCTTCTTATTCAAGCGGGCAGCGCTAGCATACCGCGTATCGGAATTTGATCAGTTTATGACACAGATAAGAACCATTCAACCATCAATGGCATCTTACTTGGAACGTGCCGGTATATCCACTTGGTCACGAGCACATTTTGTTGGTAATCGGTACAACGTTATGACGAATAACATTGCGGAGTCACTGAATTCAGTCCTAAGGTGGCAAACAAGTTTCCCTATAACCTCGTTGATCGAAAATATTACGTCATTGATGCAACAATGGTTCTACGAGAAAAAAAGTGCATCCACGAAATGTAGTATGATTGTGACACCAAAAATTGATGATGAATTGAGAAAATCATTCGACGCCGGTGCAACTTTACCAGTACGAAATTTGGACGAACTCGTTTTTGAGGTAGGTATAGCTACCGAACTTTGTACTGTCGACCTTATAGGTAACACATGTTCATGTCGAGAGTTTCAGATGCGACAAATCCCATGTTCACATGCATCCCGAGCTGCTTGCGCAAAAGAAAAATCATTGTATGATTTTTGCTCCTGTTACTACACCACAGAATATTGGCGAGCTGCGTACAACGAAGTTTTTCACCCCGTTGGACGAGAGTCAGATTGGGTTGTTCCTCAGTCTATTCGTTCCGTCGAAGTTTTGCCCCCGAATATACGTAGAGCACCAGGTCGACCTCCGACCCAATGTCAACGGTCAAGGACTGAAAGGTTGACGTTGGGATGAAAATGCAGCCGATGTGGGGGTTCTTGACATAACAGGCAAACATGTCAGAATTCAACATCTTTAAGTGACACGTATACTTGAATGACATTGTGTATTCCGATCGTCAAATGCCCTGATAACATGAATTATCAATGTTTTGAATTTTTTTCTTTTGTATTACTTGCTTTCTATCTCTTATTATAAATGTTGTTGAATATATTTTTGACTTCTATTTCTTTCCGTTTCTTTCTTCGTTTTCTCTTGATATCACTTATTTGCAATTGCTTGTTGTAAAATTAAGGTTGTAATACATTTTGAATCCGTTATACGGATTCCTCCCATTTTTTGTGATTTTTCTCTTATATTATTCTAATCGTTCAAAATTTTATAGCGCACAAACAGGAAAATTCGTATGAGCATTCACTAAATACAAACAACACTTTATTTTTGAATGTCATAATGAATACAAACAAGAGAGACCAGGTTTGCGGTATAGCTACCAACAAGGGAAATGGTGCTTACATATATTCTTATGAACATTTCACTACGATATCATTTTGTTCATCATATAAGTGAATAAGTACATATCCATTTCATCACTGTGATTTTCTTAATCATTGTAGACACAATGTGGTAATGGATACAAAAGCAACCCATGAATGACTCGTTCTCCTAAATCATTGGAGCAGACAAAATGGTAATCACAACAAAAGGAAGTCATAACTCCAATACATATCGTAGACAACTATTATACAAAATGGTGATCACCCAAAAAATTATCCATCACCTATATGGATTTTATAGCACTACTATATGTACGTAAACATTTCACTTATGATGACTGCATCTTCTACATATCCTCCACGACGGACAAAGAGGACATATCACTGTCATACTCCTCGTCGGAGCTTATGATGATCACATCTTCATTTTCGACGGGAACTACTCCAACATTTTCATCCAACAACACATGATGTGCTTCCGATTGGACCGGTACTGGGATGATATCACGATGAACTTGAATTGGTTCAATTTCGTCGATTAGATTCGGAAAAAGGATTGGTTGAAGGCAAACCCTACGATGGCGGTTCGAAGGTTGACGAACATATGGAACAAAAATATTGCTTTCATCATCTGAGTCCGAGTCAATGATGATCGGGTTGTCCGCGGACGACCCAGGGGGGTCGAAAGTGACAGTAACATCAAGAACATGAGTATTTTGAGTTGATGAAGACATAATCAATGGAAAAACTAACTAGTGCTATGACTTTGTTAAATTCTCGTATGTACATATTTAAGTAAAGTCCAATATTTTATACTGGAGAAACACTTATCCATTGAATGCACGATAAGATATCTCACCAACCAATATGGTTGAAGTCATTGATGGTGATTATTTTACAACTTTTTTTCACATCAATATGGTTGAGAACGTACTTGTGCATGGCATACCAACTTTAACTGTTATAGTAATTATAAAGCTGCTTGCTACAGTTTTCGCAGTTAATACACCATTTGGTTGCCTTCACTCTTAGTTAAATTTGGTTGGATCATATTTATGTTGACATTTGATGCCGTTCTTGACATTTGTAACGTCGTTATCGACATTAAATAGCTGTTAATCTCGACACTTGACATTATGAATGTCTAGAACGACACTTGGACCAAAATACGATATTTCTCTACATTTCTTCGATTTTCGGACGTTTGATATGTCGTTCTCGACATTACATAGCTGTGAATCTCGACATTTGATATTTCATTTGTCTAGAATGACAGTTCGAGAACATATTACATACCACCATATAAATTGAAATATGCAAACCACTGTGAAAACCAAAATACATTTTACGTACCACCACATAAAATCAAAATTCATGTTATGTACCACCATATAAAGCAAAATACATATTGCAAACGACAGTATCATGAACCGGCTGATCATCAACAGTCACACAAGCAAAGTACAGTTAAGTCACGAGAACTGTTTCACTATCGGGGATAAAGAAAGTATTCGTTATTCAAAAAATCGACCGCAATCTTTCTTATGTATATTGACATCCTCTCTGCTGAAACTGATTCTATTAGATGCCCGAGAACGAAGCATTCTATATACTTGAGTACAAATATTATGTAATTTGGCCTGTACAATAAATGATTTTTCGTTAGTCGAAATTAGTATATACAATAGATTAACTATGGTAGTAAATAACAAGAGTTGAAATGCTCACCCATTGTTCACACACGGTAGATAAGGTATAATCTCCATCTTCATTGGATCATCTATATGTTTCTTTATATCTCGTCTGGTGGACAGGGGTAGACACTGCAATAATGTTTAAACGACTGTGCATGTTGCTTCTGTGTAGCCTTGATTGCATCAGGTGTGTGAACATTATTGCTGCAGTCGTATATGTAGAATTTCCATTCAGGAATATTGACCAGAAACAGATAACATTCATTGCCTGGATATGCACTTGGAATCAATAAATACTTGCATCCCATTCACGAACGACCAACTACAGGTAATGTACCGTTGACGTAGCCTTCTAGGCTAGTTCCATCCGATTCACCTGTCTGGTTATATTCCCTGTGCCACCTCATTTGCTGACAACACTTCTCTTGAAATTGAAAATCCAAAATTGCATATTTTTTATTGACGAGAGTACAATCTTCATTCATACGCTGCCTCAATAACTTCAACTCCAGCTCAATATGCTAATGCAATAAATATTTGTAACATATATTATACATATTAACTACGAAATCAAATTTATTGTGATTGCAAACCTTCACTCACCGCAATATTCAGATCCTTCGTCGGATCCATTAAACTTTTTAGCATGTCTCTTCCATAGACATTTCCACGGCCATCGTCCAAATATGCACTGTATAACATAATTTAAATTACTATCAAATAATTCAACAAATAATTTTTCACATAGATATAATAATGTTTAGCATTCAGACTATTCAGAATGAGTTACATTTGTTACCCAGATTGATTTCTCGATATCCAATTCCTAATGTCTTCTTACTTGTTCATGTCGTAGTCTTCTAAGGGACGGCCTGTGGATGACGAAGCCTATGTGTATTTCATCTTCTTTCCCTTTCTCTTCTCCGCATGTCAACACTTTCTGCTAGTTGAGACGTTGATGTCTCATGCGGTTGAACAGTAAGAGTTGGACTTGCATGGAGAGGAACATCCTGCTGCATGGAACCTATAATAGCTTCCATGTTGGATTCCCAGTTAGATAATCTGTTTAGTATATTCTCATTCTTTTCGTCAATGTAAGATCTGACAGAACATAAACTTGTATCAATTTAAGACTGTATGTGCTCCTATTGCTGCTGGAATAATTCTTCTTGTTTTCGAAGAATCGCCTGATAATGGGCTTCTTGTTGTTACGATTCCTGGGCCATATGAGTGCTAAACATATTTGATAGAGAATTATCCATGTATGACTGCATACCACATAGCATGTAATCTTGCATCGATTTGTTATGTTGTTCACACAGTTGCTTTTGGCTTTCAAGGATATCCTGGTTCAGGGCTCTGGATTCTTCAACAAATTCTGCCTTCAAGTTGCCACACTGACTGGACACATTTGATATCGTATGTTGCCTGTACATACCCAACATTTCTTCTATTCGGTCTTCATTTACATATCTGGAGGCACCAGAAGCAGAACTAGGCCCAACTCCAGTTGAAGTTCTCGATGTGCCACGACTAGTGGTTTCTTGCACACAGATGTTATCCGGTATTTGTGGTGCTACATTATCTACTTCTCTAGTGACAATGGCATCTAATATATTATGTTCATCGTCAGCTGACAGAGAAAGATTTGTGTACCAAAGTGTTTGTAATTCTTCCTCTGTAGGCTGCAGCACTGCAATGACTTCGATCTGTAATCATAACAAACTATCAGAATCCATTTGTTTAATTGACCTTATTAATAATAAAATGTGAATGTCATTCTACATTGAAAATAAAAAATTCATACATCTTAAGTATCCAAAAATTGCTTAACAACCGATTCCTTCAATATAGTATTAGGCCTCCAATTATAGATTCGTGAAATATGCACCGTTCTGTGTTTACGGCGACCAAACTTTTGTCCAATTTGTGGAAACGCTTAATATATCCAATACCGCAACATAAAAAAAGAGAAATGTGATGTATAAATTTTATTCTTTGTACAAAGAAATTATACATAATACGTAAGTAATTAGAATAGGAACATAATACCTGAAATGCGAGTGGATAGCCTTGTAATGCATACTTACATTCTGTTTGTCCATTCTGTTGCATCCTTAGTATTCTTTCCAATTGTGACTCTTTCAATGAATTTAACAAAACGAAATATGTTATCCGACCCCACGGATATGTAAGGAACTCATCCAGATGTTCAACCATGCACTGAGTTCTATAATCAACTTGTCGTGAAGTCGGTTTCAACACACACTCAACCAACATAACTAATCCTAGCTTAAATTTATCTTCTGTATCTTCACACATGTGGAAAGTTTCAAAAAGCATTATATTGCTAATTTTTTTTGTGCCATTGAAGTATTGATTTCTAAGACGATGGTTATTATAATCAATTTCTACGGATGGTTCATGGCAAGGTAGTCCAGTAATGAGGCAAAATTCTTGCAAGCCAAACCTAGCAAGATGATCATCTAACCGTACCCAAACTTCATTGTTTTTGCCACAATGCACAAGTCTCATTATAAATTCGTATACCAACTTACTAGTAAATTGTTCGTCGTCTCCTTTGAAAACAGCTCCATATATAAATCCATAAAAATTACTACACATCAAATAACATTGTTGATTTGCATCTATGAAATTTATAAAATCTTGAACGTATTGACGATTTGGATACTAAAGGATGGTAGCAGAAAACCATTGTTCCGGAGAGAGAACGTATTCTAAAGACATCTACATCAATTATACAAGAATTAATATTTTTAAGGAACTGTAATAATTTTTTCAAGAATTAACATTTTCATTTGAT